ATCATCATCATAAATGATGAGTAGTAATAATCATAATAACAATAATGATAACAACAATAAACAAACAAACTAGGTCAGTAAAATCTATTCCAGGGTTCTTTCTGCGTTCCAAACTGTCTGGTTTGTAAATTAGGCAAGAAAGGTTCTTTGGGTAGATGGGATATCTTTTAATAAACCAACTGAGTAGTCTAATACTCAGCTGGTCTAAAAAAAGAAATCATATCTGCCCAAAGAACCTTGCCTGCCTATGTCCTTAGGCCAACACAGCTACAACTAAAAACCCTGCTACATGGTCTGTAAATTGCATCTTACCAAGCTTTTTAACCACTTTACTATCAACATTCTGAAATCCACTCTTTATTTCAACTTTTTATTTTTAGAAGCCATGAACAGATGGTGAACAGAATCACGTAATAAAAAATAGGCAAAAATTCAAGACAAAAAAAAGTTGCAAGTACAGTATACTAGTATTTTCCTCCACAATAAATGTAACAGACTGTTTTAGGATTTTCTTCTCTAAAATAAGATGCCTGGAGATTCATGTTTCTGTTTTCTCTTCCTAAAAACCTGTGTGTGTGTGTGTGTGTGTGTGTGTGTACACGCACATGCGCGCGCACACACACCAGAGACAGCAGGCTGAATACCTACCTTGCCTTCAAAAGATATAGAAGGCAAAAATATGGCCTTTTCAGAGGTTAGAAGGCTTGCCACTGACTACATCATAAAATGGATTTTACCCTGAAATCCCTGAGTTGGGGTTATAAATTAACTCCTTTCACAGGGTTCAGCTTTGCTGACCAAACTTCACATGAATTGTTTTCTCTAATCTTGGTTCTTTTTAGTGTTTCCTTTGTCCCAGTTCCCCATTCCCATTGCGGAGAGTGCTATTAGTATATTTTTATGTGCAGGGTAGAGTTTGCACCTTTCACAATGAATCAACAACATTTCAGCAGATTTAGACAAAGTGCTACGCTCTTTACAATGGTGCGTCAACAGAAGAGCTCTGCCACCCCATTTACAATTTAATTTATTTTTATTTTGAGAGTGAAAACTACTATATTGGCGCTAGAATCTTTTTCTCTCTAAGTGCCTTACTCAGCTCCTTCCAGGCTGACACAGAAAACTTTACTTTGATACTCCCTTGCCCATATCCTTCTGAAAACTATGGTTATAAATAGAGAATTAATTAGACAGATTATGCTCTGGTTTCTATTCGTCCTCACTGCAGGTACGTGTTAACAAATTATTAGATTTAGAGTTTAACACAACTCATTAGAACGTAATATAGTGTGAGATTTTAAAAGCAGCTAGTTAAATTAGGAACACAGGATGTGTTGACCTAACACAGGACTTGAATTTCTACAAGAGTGGGGGGGTTTCGGTTTCTTTTGTTTTTTAAAAAAAAGAAAACCAACAAGGCCTAAATCAATAAAGTTACATCTGAAAATCTTAAGAGCTATGCAAAGAAAAGTTTCTGAATTTAGCAGTTAATTTTCTGACGCTCTGTTGAAGCATTCAGGTTAGCTGGTACTTGATGTCAGATTTTGTCCCTTGTAAATGACACAATTTAAAAGGACAGAAATAAAACAGCATTCGAACATGTTCATAGACTAGCTATTGAAAAAAGACTTTAAAAGATAAGAGAAGTAGTGATCCAACTCATACAAGCAAGACATTTTTAAATAATGAAAATGCCCAGAAAACTAAGGGTACCTGTACACGAGCACAGAGGCTCCTCCGATGCACTGTAAAGAAATGTGTATCGAAGCAGACTCGGAGCAGGACAATTACCATGCTCCAGCAGCCTCTCACATCTTGTGCATCAGTGTCCCCACACTTTAAAATGGCAGCAGGGACACTTGAACTAAAGCTCATTGAATGAGCTTTAAATTCAAGCACCCCCACCACCATTTTGAAGCGCAGGGACTCTGATACACCAGATGCTGTGTCGCTTTAATTAGAGCAGCTCTCAGAGCCATTCTAATTAAAGCACCCCCCACCCCCCCAACTCCTGCAGCACGTATAAATGTGCCCTTAAGTTATAAGCAGGTCAGCAGGCTACAAATGAGCAAACAAAGCTTACAGAGGACAAAAAGAACACTACAAAGTGACAGTGATATGCTCAGTTTTTTGCTTAAAAGTGTCTTCTGTTGCTTTGGCATTACAAAAGCATTAATCAGCGTGTTGTGCATTATATAATGTTTCTGTGTCAGTGTGACAGACCTGTTGCTCTCAAGAAAACCTGCATTGCTTAAGTATGCTCACAGAAGCCAGTTATACTGAAGAAAAGCAAGGCTTGTACCCGTTTAAAGGTATGGAAGCTCGATTTTCAACTGAGCATTCCTCAAATGACTTAAATAAGACATCTTGAAAATTTAAAAACAGTAGTAACAATTCACACAGAGCTGTCATGAGAACAAAAGATTTTGGGGCACTCAAGTCTTGGACATTTCTTCCTAATGGGAGAAAACGCATAAAATAGAGTTTTCAAATATCTCAGTAGAAAAATCCTGCAGTCATCCTGCATTACACTGTGAACCCTAACAAGAATAATGTCAGAACTGGAACAGGAGACCTCCAAAGAATACCTGGATTAAGTGGTTCTGGAAATGTCATACTTTCAATGTTGGTAAGAGGTTTGTGCAGTAGAAGATGATCATACTGCTAAAGATTACATCTTTTCAAATGAGATATAAAAATAAAATCTTAGCAATGTACGTTTAAAATATACAATCTATTCTAAATTTGCAAAGATAAACCTGGTGTTCCTTGCTGTGTACTCTATACAGCATCTATTTGCATCTTTCATCCTTGAAGAGGTGCTTACACTTCAGCAACAGATGAAGTCAGTTCCTGAACTATAACAGCTTTCCCAGTGTTTTGGGATCCTCTGGATCAAAGGCTCTAGTCCAAATGGCCTTTTTAAGGTTGGGTTCTGTCTTGCATTTAAAACAAAACCTTAATTTAGGCACCTTCTTCACAAACAAAGCAAAAATCACAAATGGCATAAACATCATAATGATGAATATTTACTAAAGCTAAGGTCATAATTAAAATGTGTTAATCTCTGAGATAAATAGCTAGTGTTACATGTAAAGAGAGAGAGAGAGAGAGAGAGAGAGAGAGAGAGAGAGAGAGAAAAGAGTCCCGTTCATATATAAATGCTAAAACAATGGCAAGGGGAGAAAAGGATTAGTCATATAAACAGCTTTTCATTTAAACCACTATATTTCCCAGTAAAAAGCTTCCTGCTAAATGTAGACAAAATTGTTGCTGTTTACGAACCTGAGGAAACACTTAATTTCAATTATAAAAACAATTAACAACTTCTTATTTAAGTTAGGGAAGGGGGATACCATAAATATAGGATGCAGATCCTTTGCAGCTTAATGACTTCAAATGACTGTCAGTTTTCATCAGGACAGAGTTCGATCCAAACGGTTTTTCTTACTTAAAGTAAACTTTCCCCATGTACGTAAAAGTAACAAAATCAACTAAGGTGTTATCCTAGTAGTATACTCCAAGTGGAATAATTGACCACCTGTATCATCTTAGTTACTACTATTGTAAGATGAATAAAGTACAAAATGAATAAAGTACAAGATGAATACTGAATGTTCAACATAAAGCATCATATGTTTTCCCTTTAATTGCTGCAGCATTCCTCTTTTTTATTCGCTAGATATTTCAACCAGTTTTACTGTAAAAAAAAAGTTATGACAGATCATATTTTTTTCAAAATTAATAAATAATGGCTCACTGTTCTTCTTAAGTTCTGAAGAATCCATTGATGTAACAGCAGTAAAAAACTGCTTTCTACCAAAGCCATTGCTTTCAGGGAAGTACCAGTGATTTAAAATCTGTGTGTCTTCTGAAGCAGAGCAACACGCTCCAAATATTTAATCTCTGTCAGTATGATCTATCATATAAACACAACCTATTAAGCCTTATTTCCACTACACAATTAGTAGTCCTTTCAAACATTCCGATATTAAATTCCTGTATATCGTTGCACTACAAGACCTGATTTTATAGCAAGAGGTTTCAAAGACAACTGTCCTCTACAAACTAATAAAAAATGAATTATGCATAATCAAAAATCCAAAATGAGCAGCAAATATAACAATAGCAAGACTATACAGCATTCTTAGAACCTTAAAATTCCATATGTTTTGCAAAAAGGATGCAGTATTATTCACTGGCAGTCACCCTGCAGAGTAGGAATTCTCCTGTCCAGCAGAGGTGTAGGTTGTAGCCATGTTGGTCTAAGGACATAGGCAGACAAGGTTCTTTGGGTGAATCTGATATCTTTTATTAGACCAACTTAAATAGTTGGAAAACAATTATTAAGCAAGCTTTCGGGTTCAAAAACCCTTCGTCAGGCTGCCTGATAGTCCAGCAGATAGTTTCTCAAACATAAATAAATGAAGTGATGTTCATAATAAAAATTAGAGAGGTATGCACATTGTTCCCAAAAGCAGCAAAGGAGGTAAAGCCATTTCGTATGAAACACTTCACAAGTGCAGGTCAGTGAATACAACCAGGGTGCCGCGGCATGCTGGCACGTGTTGAGATCTTTTCAAAGGTGCTGTGGGGCCCAAACAATGTTAACACTGTTAGGTAAACCCAGAGATTTCAAATAGGAATTTATCATGTTAAAAACATGGGACCTGTTTTGGTCTTCCTGAGTTCTTTGCAACAGGAGAACTGCTCTCTTATTTTTCTGTAGTTCAAAAAATGAGTGAAAATTAAGAGCTGGCTGACTAAAAAATGTTAATATAACTATCTTTGACCTGTGTCTTGAGCCCGTTCAGGGGTTCCTTGAATCTAAAAAGTTAAGAACCACTGGTGCAGGTTTTCCTACAGAGCCTGGTTTTTGATAAACATGAAAGGGGACTATTGAAAAATGCTCACAATATTTTTCTATAAGTTTGTGATATTTTAATTAAACAAGCCTTTCTGTTATAATAAAAGACTTCTTACGCTGTTTTTAAATACAGGCATCATGGTGAGTAAGGAATCCAGCAAATGCTTACTCACGGCCTCTGAAAGTGAAGTTGAACCAGCAGCTTCACTTGCCTTGGAGATGAAATATGCATTGGATCCCAACCGACAGATTAAGAAAAGAAACAAAGCCCTGCAGGTGAGATTTAAAGATATCTGTGAGGCCCAGAATGAACAAAGGGACAAGCAACTATCTACAATACAACATACAGACAAAAGAGAAACAAAGCCCATCTCATATAAAACAGCTTATCGTAAATATATGACAGTGCCTGCACGAAGGTCAATACCTAATGTTACTAAGAGCACAGGAGTTCAGACTTCACCAGATCTTAAAAAGTGTTACCAGACATTCCCTCTGGACCGCAAAAAAGGGAATATTATTAAAAGCATCTCAGCTGTTGACACCTTTAAGAGTCAAAACAATGGATTTCTAATAGATATTAAGGATAAAGACAGTAAAAACTCAGGGGAGGCTGCTCAATGTAGCAAGAAGGTCAGTGGCCTAATGACCGCAGAATTTATTTCCCATACTAATGAACGCATGAATGCAATAGATCAGCCTTCTAGTGACAACTGTTCAGAGGCATGTAAAAGCACTGATTTGCACAGCTGTACTAAAGAACCTTCTTCTCTTCAAAACTCAGCAGACTCTACTTCAGAAGAACCTGATTACCAGCTGCATGATAAAACAAAACATGATACAGGGCCACTGGGTAATGAGGAATCTATTCAATCAGCACATGGAAAAGTGTTTAAGACGGAAGTAGCTACCATTTATTTACCTGCGTCCAGTTCACATGCCATACGGCCTGACTTGCAAAACTCTGCAGCAGAGACTGAATGGTTATTGTGCCCAACAACAGATGAGGAAAAAAAGAGAACTGTGCATCTTAATGGTTTGCAGTCCCAATCAGTAAATGCTCAGGCCTGCTTATCACAGGCACAGTGCCAATCACCCGAATGTAATGAACAGACCCTTCAGATAAATGTTTCACCTCTGAAAGAAAGTCAGCCTTGTCAGACAGCAGTTGCTGTGAGTGAAGGATGCCAACAAATTGTGCCTCACACAGAAGTGGTAGACTTGAAAGCACAGCTTCAGATGATGGAGAATTTGATCAGTTCAAGCCAGGAAACCATAAAAGTGTTGTTGGGTGTTATTCAGGAGTTAGAAAAAGGAGAAGCTCACAGAGAAGGGTAAGTATAAGCCAAACTATTTGTAAAGCTTTCTTAATATATACTGCTTTTTAATGTGTTATGTTAATCTACTAAAAACATAAATCTTAAATAGATTCTGCTATAGTATCAATGCCAGAAAAATCTGCTTCATAATTTTCATGTACAACAGTTTTCCTCTTTTATAAGCCAGTCCTAGAGATGCCTACTATTGACACTAGCAAGCCTACATTTATCTACGTTCACATCTTTAGAATATAATAATAATAACCTTAGTACTTATTTGTTTTGGTTTGGTTAAATAACTAACTCATCGATCTTGTCCTACGTGGTTTTCTATAGGAATTGAATTGATAACTACAATGAATTAGTACCTATAATGACACAGAAGCTACTTCTCTTTTACTAGCATAATACCTTTTAGAATATGCAATATTCTTCAATAATCTTTTTCTAGCAATAATTTCTTAACACTGATTGTGCATATGCCCTTAAAATTTAAAACAATTTCTAATTCTATAAACAGACTAAAAAAGTTAATTTAAGTATATAATTGCATAACTGTGTAAGCATTTTGTTTTGTCCATCCCAATTATGAGATTAACTGATTTGTACTTCTTTAAATACTCAATATACACGAAATATTTGAATAGCGAGTTTTTAGAAATACTGATATTGTCCAAAACATGCAAAATTTTCATCATAGCCAAGAAAAAAAAAATTACGTCTTCTCTCCTTAACAATGGTCTATGTTCTTAGACCAACATAGCTATAACCAACACTCTCCTTAACAATAGCATTTTGCATCTTCTCCGTAAGTGGTGCAAGTAATTGTTATTTAACCAGCTAACAACCATCAAACTGTATTCAAATCTCCACACCAAAATAGTACTTTTCATAATTAGAGTACAACTCTTTAGTCCTAAAATCTCTAAATATAATGCTTACAAATATATCATTTTTTTGTACCTACTCAGTGCCATATAATGCCAAGATATAATAATGGGTTTCCTATTCTGCAACTTTTAGCATGGACAGATTTCTCTCCAATCCCTACCCCACGTTATCACACCAACATGAAATACAGATAATTTCAATTACACTGTTACAAATGCTCTATTGAATATGCTTTTCTCTGAATTCATCTACCAATATGTATTCTCTCACCACTGCTGTAGATACAAAAGAGAATCCTTCCTCCACTGATTACATTTCTTATCTTTAAATGCTTCACAAACCTCTTTAGGTTAGAGTAATGGTAGATGTTACTTGAAACAAGAATAGGTAAAATATTGGGAGACAAAAGTGAAATTCTACATAGCTTATTTTTAAAGGAGAGTAAGCTTGTACTGCTAGAAACAGTAAAACAATTTAACTGGGCACTGAACACAGAGCATAAAAGTGATTCATTAAGGTTGGAAGCTGGAAAGTAAGATGGCCCTCATGAAAGCTCCAGGCAAGATCCCAACATGCCTCTGCCTGCTTGACGGGGTTAAGGAAATAATTTAGAGCCAAGTACGCTAGACTTGGACGCACCTCTTAAGTTTCCCTCCACACTATGGAAAGTTTCACCTTGTCCGTCTCTGCCTTTCAGTCCCTTTGTAACACCTGAACAATTTAAAGAGGTCAAAATACACAAAGGGCTATGACCCTGTTTGGAAAAGTGTCCACTATTGATTGTATTCTACAACTCTGACTAAAAGAGCAGCTTTTCTTTAAAAAGTATGCGTATAACATGAAAACAAACTCAACCTTTATTCCACGAAGCAGAAAAATCTTTTGAATAAGTAGACTGCCAAACCCTTTTATTGTCGTAAGAATTCTTCCCTTAACTTTATTGCTACAGTAACTTTTTTTCTAGTGACCAAAAATGAATGCAGTTATTCATTCTGCCCCTCAGTCCTTTTTATAATTCTAGAATATTGACTTAGTGCCTTGTTAGGAACTGTTTATCATTTGGTTGCATCAAAACGGGTGGCTAGGGTCTGGAACCAGCTTCCAAGTGAGGTGGTACAGGCTCCCACCCTGGGGGTTTTTAAGAGGAGGTTAGATGACCATCTTGCTGGGGTCGTTTGCCCCCAGTACTCTTTCCTGCCATGGCAGGGGGTCAGACTAGATGATCTGTCCAGGTCCCTTCCGACCCTAGAAACTATGAAACAAAACAAAAGAAATATTACTTTTACTGCTGTGTAGATCACAGCAGACAACCATTTCCTCTACCTGAACAACAGTACTCAGTATTTATAGCTTTTACCGACTTTTCAATTAATATGTGATGTATACAGCTTTTTATAACCAACAAGGTTTACAAAAAACTTAACACAGTACAAGCAATATTGTGGGGATTTGGGTTGTTTTTGGGGGGGAAGGGAGGGGCGAGAAGGTGGACACCAGTTTAACTTTGTAATCAGCTTTTCCTCCATTCAAGAAAGTCACAGCTCTTAAGTAGTACCATGGGATTAATACTCACTGTATTTTCATTAATATGTTGTAGGTCTTGAACTGCTATCCTATATAACTCATTGCTAAAAGTATTGAAGCCAACAACTACTATATATCAGTTCCTCTAGTGCTAATAGCATCAAAATCATCCATGTATAGGTTTTAAAACGTCAGTTCTACATTTTCTTTGTTCATATAGCAACACCATGCAGTATTCAACTCCACTGAAAATATATTCTCAACAAATGCTAAAAGAGAGCAGCTATAATACTTGACAGCAAGTAGAGGCTCTAGTTTGCTCCTTCAAGTCTACAAGCAGAAATCATGCACCACACCGAGCTCTTTCCCCTTTCCGAATTCTGATATTTATGAGAATAAAATACAATGTTTCTTTTGCCACTGGTTTAGGTTCAAATCCATATATGTTTTTCACATAATGTTAAAATTGACAAAACGTGACCAAACTGACTGTCAGAGGCTTTTAAAAAACAAAGGGCTTTTTAACACATGAAAATGGCCTGAAAACTCTGGACTTTTCAAGGGAAAAAGCCAAAATTGGCTACATCTAGCCTGTGGTCCAACTTCAAAGATGGATTTATATAAAAAATCTGCAGGGAGTTTATGTCATTATAGGGAGCCACTAAGTAGTTTTAATTTTTTAATCAAGGGACAGATGTTTAAAGAATTCACCATATGATCACTATATATATTATATGAATGAGGATCTTAACCTCTCTGTAGCATTTGGAACCTTAACAAAAGTTACCAGAAAAAAATATATATGAATTTGGCGGGAGGGAGTGAACATTCATTATATACATTATGCGTATTCTTACTATGCTTAGTAGCAACACCGGCAAGTACCATATGCTGTTTTTGGAAGGTTGCCGTTTAAGTCAGAAGCAGTATAACTATGTCTGCATGGTGCTTTAGGCTCAGTGATAATGTTCATTAGCCTACCCCATGCTAATTATCTCACCCACAGCTCCTGTGGACATGGCTAACCCCATTTCCAGTTTAGAAGCTAACCCATGTAGAGCACCATATGAACAGCAAGTTTATCATGTAAACATTCTAATTTAATGTATGGGGAAAAAATGGCAATTAGAGAGAAGGATACACTACATCTTAGAGTTAGATCTCCAATTTATATTACAGCTGAATACCACAAGAGCTTTTTCAAGTGGAGAGGCATACGGTTCAGATTTAAAATGTAACGAGAACACATAACAACTCCCTGCTAACAAACAATATTGGGTGTTTGGTGCATCTCCCAGTGAGCTGTTTGACTCATGTAATCAAGGCTGCATTTAAATACAGTGGATATGCACCAAGTCCAAATTCTTCTTTTGCAGATGTGCAGACCCACTAATTCCAGTGGGATTGCTCACATGCTAGTGAAAGCAGAACTTGATCTGCTATTCTAACACTTGGCTAATTCAAACACTGCACGTTAACTATGTTGAACAGGCAAGACTGGAGCCTTACACGGGTTATAAAATATTTTAATTCATCTGTTAAATCTGTATAAAAACAAATGCCTACATTCTACAGTCAACCCAATCTTTGAAAAGTTAAGAACCAGTTCAAGGACAATTTATGTTTGTACCCAAGTGCATAATAAAGAATGAACTTTATAATATCTTGAGGAAAATTCTTGAAGGATCTGAAGTAGCTCCTAGGCTTAAACTTTGGCAGTTAGCACCTCATAGACTGGAAGAAAATTTAAGGTTTGTATTTGCTTGAAGTGAATGGAATTTAAAATTAAAATAAAGAGGGACAATTCACATTTGTTTTGCTGGAATTCTCATGCCTGGCTAGGAAGCAGTGAAGGGGAGGGGGAAGTGTCTAGGAAACAGAGGGAGAAAAAGGAGAATGCCATCCAGGTTTAACAGCTACTTATAGTACTAGCCTCTAATTGCAGAAACTTTTCCCTATTCTCACTAATAGCCCACCACTGGGAGGTTACCCCTAATCCCTGGTTTGCTTCTCCAACCTAGGGACTCTGGGGAAGTCACAAAACCCCTACAAAAGCTGAGTGACACTTAAAAAAGTAACAGCTTTTTTTTTGTGTGTCTTCTTTCAGACATAACAGAAAAAATAAAGCTCAAACTGTCCAAAAAGACATGGTTCCTTTAGAAGTGGGATATCAACAGTGACTGGCTCCTATTTTGGAAAGATTCTGGCTGCCACCTGTTCTTCCAGTTGCAGACATGGCAAAAAAGAAGGAACAAAGTTTAATAACATCAGTCTGGGGGAGACCTAGAAGGATAGGTAGGAACACAAATGGGGGAGGTGGGCAGGGGGGTGAGGACACGGACAGAGGTGTGGTAGAGAAACATCAGCCAGATACATCTTCAAAATCCCTGTTTGTAATGTAAGGTACCTATTAAATGTATCCAATAATATATTATGCATTAGACACTGAACATAAGCAAGTCTTGGATCTTGTGATGATAATCTTTGGAAGACAGGGCTATTGTTGAATTTTGCTTTTTGCTGTGCAGTCTTTTACCTCTCCACCAATGCTGTGAAGAGAACAAACCAATGCTGGCAGAATTACTCTCTCAGACTCATCT